TAAAGTTACCTCTGACATGATACCAATATAAAGATGTTAAATAAGAGTAGCATCAAGACTATAGACTGGAAAATTGGTCACCTAATGTTGGTCTAAAGAGCACAGTTCTGAGTGAAAAATCACTGGAATATTATATGTTAAATATTTGCACACATCCATCATACATGTATGTAAATATTTATTCTTTGTGTTGTATTTTTGTATGCAGGAAGTTTTATGCATTTGTGGTCCTGGTAACGCTGAAGTGGTGTCTCAATCCTGCAGCAAGGAAGGTATATAATGTAGCTGCTCTTACTGTGGTGTGTTTGATGAGGATAACTGACATGAGACCACCACCATACTCCAATTTGGTCATTTAAGGTCAAAAGTTACACTGAATATATATTTTTATATGTAATTGTATTTGTAATTTTTCTTCCAGCAAGGCAAAATGTCATGGAAATTAGTACTGTCACATCACAGCAAGGAGGCCCTAGGTTTTAATCTGCCTCTCTTGTTTACATTGTCCCTGTATACTCCATCTTTCCCCCACATATGTAAATGGCCTGTATTTGTATAGCGCTTTACACATCCAGTCATCCACCCATTCACACACTGGTGATAGCAAGCTACGTTGTAGCCACAGCCACCCTGGGGCGCACTGACAGAGGCGTGGCTGCCGAACACTGGCGCCACCGGGCCCTCTGACACAACAGGTGAAGTGTCTTGCCCAAGGAAACGATGACCAAGACTGTCCAAGCCAGGGCTCGAACCGGCAACCTTCTGATTACAAGGCGAATTCCCAACTCTAACCCAACAGGTTACATGTTGGCTTAATTAAAATGTAAGTGGCTGTGCCGTCCAGGGTGTATTCCCCTCCCCCACATATGACAGCTGGACAGCTGGGATAGGCTCCAGCCCCACCATGACCCTGACTTGAATAAGCGCAAGAAAATGGATGGATGTGAAACGCTGACATATGCTAAACGTCCACTTCTCTGCTGTTTATGTTGCAAAACCAACATGTGCTTTAGGACAGCTGACAATTACGGTCTTGAATAAATACTGCAAAAAAGTAAACAGGAGCATAAAGCATGGGGGGGGGAACCCTTAGTGCTGAAGTTATGTGCAAACACTGTACAATGAGCACCTTTATCTTAGCGTCCTCTCCAGGAAACATGTATGATTAAGAGCAGACAGTGAGGCTTTCTTCTTGACTACTATGGACTCTAGACACCTATCATCAGTTCTAGATGTTCATACTGTCAGGTACTGCACACAGATTGGACAATTTAATTCTTACATTTTTAGCTATTTTACAGTTTTTTCTGAATGCTTAAACCCTAACTGTGATTCCTGTAGCACAATCTCTAAAACTATTCAGACTTATAGCAAAACCACTCACTGAGTTTGCAAAACTAAAAGCACAAAAACTGCTTTGCCCTCAGTTTGCAATTTTGTAACACACACTTTGCAAAACTGTAGGCACAATTCACTGCACAACACTCAATTACCAAATTTCCAACACACTCCTAGCAAAAGTATACACATGACTCTTATAAGTACCTGGGTGTTCACCTCAACAAGAAACTGGACTGGACAACAAATACAGACGTCCTGTATAAGAAGGGCCAGAGTCGACTCCACCTGCTGAGGAGACTGAGGTCCTTCGGAGTCTGCAGGACTCTGCTAAGGACATTCTATGACACTGTGGTAGCATCTGCCCTTTTCTATGCAGTGGCCTGCTGGGGGAGTGGATGCACGGACAGGGACAGGAGCAGGATTGACAAACTGGTGCAGAGGTCTAGCTCCGTGCTGGGATGTCCCCTGGAGTCTGTGGAGGTGGTTGGTGAGGGGAGGATGTTAGTAAAGCTGACATCCATCATGAACAACCCACATCACCCACTGCATGAGTATGTGAGTGGTCTGAGCAGCTCCTTTAGTCAGAGACTGAAACACCCTCGCTGCAGGAAGGAGCGCTTTCGCAGATCATTCATCCCAACAGCAGTTAGACTCTATAACTCCTCAATCACGATGTCATAAGTCACTGGACACTGTGAACATCCACGGTCACCACTTCATGCATAATGGACCTTCCATGACCTTCCAAGCTATATAGTTTATGTCTTCCATATTTCCAACCATATCCATAATCACATACTGTGTATGCTACCATTGTATATAGTGTATTATCTTACTTTTTTTCATTGATTGTACTTAATTGTATTTTTGTATTTCCTTCATATATCTGTACCTGAGCTGAGGTGACGCAAAAATTTCCCCGTTGTGGGATCAATAAAGTCTTATCTTATCTTATCTTATCTTATCTTATCTTATCTTATCTTATCTTATCTTATCTTATCTTATCTTATCTTATCTTATCTTATCTTATGTATGGCTATCATTAACACTAATTTTCCAACTGTCTGGCACACTTTCACATGTGAAAACTTCTTTAGATAATTCGTTCACTTTGCAATCAGCCTAAGCACTATAATACAGGTAAGCTGTGTGTGCGGAGTACAATGGAGGGAGCAGAAAGAGTGAGAAGTAGAGGAGGCCGAGGAAGAGGACGTGGAGGTGAAGAAGTAGGATGAAGAGGACGACAAGGAGGAGCAAGAGGAAGACGAGGAGGGGGGAGAGGAAGATGAGGAGGGGGGAGAGGAAGGGTAGGATTAGTAAGAAATAGAATTGCTGATGACATCAGAGCTACAACCGTGGAATGACACTGAGGGTAGCTGGCAAACGGGTCCAGCCTAACTCGAGCCGCTACACTGTAGCAAGTACCATAAGGACATCTTGAAATGAGAATCGGTTAGTACAGTCACTTCGCACAAAGATTTGTAGCACTGCCATATGCCAATGAGAAACACACCAATACCATTGATGTAAAAATACTGAAATTGTTACTTTACAGAATTGCTAGATGACCAGATGCTGGGGGCAGAGGAAGCATGTTCACTGCAGACCAAGTAACCCATATAGTCATTATGGCGATTGCAAATAATCCTATACTTGGAAATGAACACTTGTGTTTGTTTTGATGTGTTTGAATAAACACCAGTACTTGAAGTTTGGATCCCTCTATGCTTATGGATCTATGACAGAAGTATGAGCCCAAACTGACATAGCCATAATTTAACAAAGAGATAGATTAATATAGCAGATATTTGCTGCCATCTAGTGGAAAAACAGGACATATTTCACTGACGATGGCTATTACAAAAAGTTGATTCAGTTGGCTATGTTGTGTCCAAATAAACAGAATTAGCTTTTTGGGATTTCCTTCCCTGGGATGATTCAGCATGCATCAAGACTAACAATGGTTGCTTTTCTTTTTTGGTCATCATTTCCTTTATTGCACTATCTTCATAGCTGTATGTGTACAGTACCCGTGGAACCACACACCTTTCTTTTGACAAGGATGTACGAAATAGAGATTTGATCTATTCTGGGAATGTAGAGGCACTACAATGATTTTATAATTATGGTAAATGGACTGATTCTTAGATAGTGCTTTTCTACTCTTCTGAGCACTCAAAGCACTTTACACAACTTGTGCATTCACCCAAGCACATTTTCTTAGTGCTTTCTAACTAACATTCACACACACATTCATACTCCGATGGATGCATTGGAGAGCAATTTGGGGTTAGTATCTTACCCAAGGATATTTGGCATGCAGACTAGGGGAAGCCAGGAATCGAACCACCGATCAATAGATGACCTGCTCTGCCGCCTGAGCTATAGCCACCCACAATTAAATGATGCCTCACAGCAAGAAAGTCGTATGTTCGTATCCACTTGATGGCTGAGGTCTTTCTATGTGGAGTTTTCATGCTTTCTCTGTGCCTGTGCAGGTTCAGGACAGACAAAAGACCAGCTTTTCCATCATTTCCAGTCTTTGTGTTAAGTTAAGCTACTCAGGTGTTGATGGTAGCTTAATATTTACAATACAGACATGAACTTGGTATGGATCACTTCACCTAACAGCCAAGATGGGAAAAAAAACCCCAAAACAAAAAAAGGGTGTCTTTTTACTCATATTGTTTCATGCTTTGAATGTCCATGCAGAAAATCCTTTTATCCCTGTCCTACATGTTGAGACAATGTCCCACATTGTGATTCACTTTAACTGAACAATTGTGAACACCTGACTCTCTCTAGAAGCATGTGGTCGAAAACGAGATGTGCTGATTGATAGTGTGGAAGATGATTACCAGAGTTTGATCTGTCAAAGCTCTACATAAAGGGATCAGTGCTAACAGTGGTTAGCACTGTTGCTATCGCTGCTGCCTCACAGGAACGAGGTCCTCGGTTCAAATCTGCCATGTGGAAGGGGCCTCTCTGTGTGGAGTTTACAAGTTCTCCCCCTAGCAGCATGGGTTCACTCCAGCCTCCTCCCACAGTCCAAAAACATTCAGTTAGTGGGGCTAAGTTAATTGCTGATTCTAAAACATCTGTCTGTGTGTTAAGCCTGTGGCAGACTGGGCTCCAGGACAGCTGGGATAGGCTTCAGGTCCCTGTGACCCTGAACTGTATAAGTGGAAGATAATGGATGGATGGAATATAGGAGTGTACAAAGACTTGAGACTATACATACTTTAGCTCATATGTGCTTATTGCAATCAGATAAATTACAGCATATTCGTTTTCCCTATACTTAAACTCTAACCTGTATAACTTTTGTGAGATTTTAGCCAAACATTTATCAAAATTTCAGACTACACACACCACTCCATTATGGCACAACCACACTCTTTGACCCTCATCTTGTTTATTGGGCTCTGGCCTCCCTGCTCACATATGGGCTGTGTTTGCCATTACAGTTGCAGCTCATTTCATGAATGCACTCCCAGGCAGTGCACACAACAAAGGAGGCCAGCTCTTCCTCATAAGCCAAAAGATGTGTAGTGTGTAATGCAGAGTATCATTCATCATCGTCTACACGCTTCCCTGCCCCCTCTCTCTCACACACACAAACACACACACACGCACACACACAAACATGGCGGCCTCTGTTTCACCGCTACGCTCCTCCTTCAGGATTTGTAGCCCTTTAACGTTACACCATCACTGCTGCCGGGCCAAACTGCGGATGCACAGAAAATGCGAGAGTCAAAAGAGACATCTGCACGAGTCGGCGACGAGGTAAAACGCAGCACGTCTAAAACAATGCTGGTTTTTCTTTTATTATACGGCATCACTTTGCGCAGGGCTGAACGACGCTTCAGGTCCGGCGAAGGCGTGCGCAGCGTCACGTGTCGGTGGGTGGTGATTGACAGCCTGTTTCGCCGTTCACGAAACCTGCGAGTGTAGATTACAGTACAAATTGCAACCATATTTAAAGGGACTATTTTTTCAAAAGACATGACAGAGTTACATAACCGGCTCACAGCCTCGCCGGCTGAACACAACGCGCTCTATGTAATGTGGACTGTAGCTGATGGAGAGGGCTGTCACCTATGGTTATACCATATTTAGTATATTTATAGCACATTTAAGAACACATAAAATTGTGGTCCCTAAATCAGACGCCTTAATAAAATCCTCACTGGACACTTGAGAACATCTTGCTATTAGTGAATATGAGCCATCTACTCTAATTCTTCCTGGCACAGATTCAAAAAAGTGTCAAAACAATAAGTAGAGATTTTGCTTCATATTGACCAGAGAGCATCACAGAGTTGCTGCACATCCATGATGCAACACTCCTCATCTCAAAGTTGCATTATTGGACTGAAAGCAGTGACTGTGGAGGCTATCTGGCTATCTGAGCACTGACTCGCTGTCATGTTCAAGAAACCAGTTTGAGATGATTAAAGGGTAGTTACGGATGTACATAGTCAGCAACAATGCTCTGGTTGGCTGTGGTGTTTAAAGAATATTCAGTTGGTGTTAAGAGGGCAAAGTTTGTCAAGGAAATATCCCTCACACCGTTACATCACCGGAAGCATTCTGAACTGTTGAGACGAGGCAGGATGGATGCATGCTTTAGTGTTGTTTATGCCAGGTTCTGACCCTACCATCGACTGTTTTCAGTCTACAGTTGTCCAATTTTGGTGAGCCTGTGTGAATTTCAGCCTCAGTTTCCTCATCTTAGCTACAGGAGAGAAACCGGCTGTGGTCTTATAAGCTTTGTTACTGGAAGTATTCACTCACTTAGCCAAATCACTGAATTCCGGTGTCCCTATCACTTTTGTGGCGACAAGGGTATAAAATGGCAGGTCATGGGTAATAGCTGTCAGTAATACAAATTTAAAACCAAGAATATCCAAAAGTAGATTCTGGTCATCTGGATGTAGCGTTTTCAGTGGGAGAAACATTTAGTCACTCATCCAAGTGAGTTCTTCAGTCTCAGCTGACTGCAGGTCAGCTTGAAAAGTGAATTTGTCACTGTTAAATTCATCTTTCATCTTTCCCGCAGTGTATTAGTGCATTAATTCATGTGTTTTCTCTTTATCTTTCCAGGCATGCCGCTGTGGTGATTTCCGGAACAGAGTTAGCTCGTCAGCTGCACAGAGAAATCCAGCGTGATGTGGAAGAGCTGGTAGCTCAGGGCAACATGAGACCACACCTAGGTGTGGTCTTAGTGGGTGACGACCCAGCCAGTCACACCTACGTTAAGAACAAGACCCGCGCAGCCAGCATCCTGGGTCAGATATGAGCAGCACATGCATTCTTAAACGTGTATTCATAAAGTATTTCATGCATATCTAAAAACAATAAATATAACTAAAGTAGCACATATTTTATGCATACACAGATACATATGTTCAGACGCACTTGCTTAAGCAAAAGTAACATACATTTAAAATAATCAAAAATAAAACAATGTGTATTTAAAATAATCATGCAAAAGTACACAACTACATCTTCATGGTTTAGGTATATGTGTTTATGTGTTCTCCAGGTATTTCCAGTGATACAGTGGTGCGGCCCAGCACAGTGTCTCAGGAGGAGCTGCTGGAGCTGATTGACAAGATGAACCGTGACTGGAGGGTCAGTGGCTTATTGGTGCAGCTCCCACTTCCAGGTGAACAAAGGCACCACTGCTCCAGAGGTGTCCTCCATGACATCATGTTAACTGGTCTTTACAGTTGTGGTGATTCTGCTTCTATAGTCGATGGATATTGTGTGCATAAAATTTTATGCGTACAGAATATGTATTGGAGTGATTTCTGGTGACTGTGGGGCCCACATGACTGCAGTGAACTCATTATCATTTTTAAGAAACCAGTTTGAGATTATTTGAACTTTGTGATGTGACACGTAATCCTGCTGGAAGCAGCAATCAGAAGAGGGGTTCACTGTAGTCATAAAGGGATGGTCAGACTACTCAGGTAGGCTATATAGTGTTTAAACAATGCTCTGCTGATACTAAGGGGCTCATGTCGAGTTCTGACCTTATCATCTGAATGCTGAACAGGTGTACCTAACAAAGTCACTTGTGAGTCTATTATGTTTCAGTTCTTTGTACAGTTCTTCACATGATATACAGTACCTGAGCTTATGTTCTGCTCCCTCTGATTTTAGAGCACATAAATGAGAGAGCAGTATGCAACGCCATCGCTCCAGAGAAGGATGTGGATGGCTTCCATATTGTGAACATCGGTAAGCTGTGCCTGGACCAGAGATCCATGGTGCCAGCCACTCCTGCAGCTGTCTGGGAGATCATCAAAAGAGCAGGTATGCCTCCCAGTATTCTCCAAAGCATTTACTCAACTTAATATCTATAAACGTTTGTCATGGCTATTTTTAGCCTTGCCATTCGCTCTGTTTTTTGAACCTACGATGGCATGATCCCTAAATTTGAACTGAATGTTCAGTTCCAAAGAATGTAAAGTTAACTCTAGAAGCAATAGCAGAAGTAGGTATTATATGTCCATTTCTATGCATCTCAGATCCACTAGGTGGCGCCTAATATCCTTTCTTCCATCTAAATCTAAATTTCATCTGTTCTTTGACTTTCATTAGTTTTAACATGAAATAAAAGTATAATGTTTCAGTTTTCTGAAAAAGTGTGAAAGTTATTTGAAGTAATGTGTGTAAAACTTTATATTTAACAGATGTTGTTATTAAAACATTATTTGAATAAAATAGTAGGACGTTAGTTCTTAAAATAAAACTATTCTTACTGTGATGTGAGAACAGTGTCTAGAATGGCAAGAAACCCCTTGGTTATCATACCAAAGGAGTGGAGGATTGAGGTGCGGCTAAGCCTTGGCTGCCTTTGAGGTTAGTTCAGTTGTCGTAGGAATGCTTAAGGGTTTTATATCATCATGAAATCAGCTTATCGGCTGTGACAGAACTTTTGGAATCCTCCATCCCACATAGTGCTGAAGCAGATATCTCTTTATAGATTACATTGAGAGCTGAAGGATGAAGGGTTTGGCGTAACTCACTTGTCTGTCTGAATGACTGGAATGTTTCAAACTCTAAGTTATGGAAATACACAATTCTGATGAACTTGAACACTATACACTATGTGTATATAATTATTTGAGCTTGGTTTTGGTTTCAAAGGTGAAAATGGTCCGAGAGAAGTGTGACTGAATTCTTTAAGCCTTGTAACAAACCTTTCTGCTGGCTCTATCGACCTAGCTAAGGCAATGCAAGTGAAAACAGATGCAAGTTTTTAATAATTACTGTATTCATAGAAGCTAAAATATTATCCAGTACCCCAAATCACCGGTTTAAAAAGTAATGGCTCCTGTTAAATAGTTATCCATAGAGTCATAAAAAAATAAGGTTTTCACAGGACTCTATGCTGTCATTAAATGTGGCATTGTGCATTTGCCATTATTCCAGAAATCTTGTGGTTTGTTGACAAGTAAGAGGCTTTCTCTTGATAAACATTCCAGACAAGCCAGGTATGTTCACTCTTTTGTTAACTGAAAGGTCATGAACTTTAACATTTAAATAAATGGTAAATGGCCTGCATTTGTATAGCGCTTTTCTAGTCCATAGGACCCCAAAGCGCTTTACACTACATTCAGTCATTCACCCATTCACACACACATTCACACACTGGCGATAGCAAGCTACATTGTAGCCACAGCTGCCCTGGGGCGCACTGACAGGGCAGCACAGTAACTAAAGTCTGTAGAGCCTGAAATGCAGGTCTTGAGTTTTTACAGTTTCTCTGAGCACTGCATGGTCTGACTATGGGGTGAATTTACTGGGATATCCACTCCTGTGAATAATGTGGTATTATACACCTCAATTCTGCTTTTATAGAGGTCATCACACTTGTTGATGAAGTGCATTTGATTAGGTACCTGTTTGCTATTTACCTTCTTAATTCCTATTAAACCAGTGGGGATGCATTTAGTTTATCACAGGACTGCATAGAGTCCTTCAGAAACAAGTCATACAATATCAGAGATGTAAAGCTTGAGTTTTTATATTCTTCTGAAAGGTTTTAGGGATTTCAAGATACATTATCGCAAAATTTGGAGAAGCCTTGAGGTTCCTCTGGAGTTAGTAGTGTTTTTACTTGCCAGCCTTCTGTGCACGTCATTTATGCCCAGTATCTGTTGGATTGTGGAGTTACCAAAAGAGATACTAGATGACACAAAGACCAAGGAAGGAAGGAAGGAAGGAAAAAATCCCATGAATCTTTTTCTTGTAACTTTTTTGACATCATAGGATGATTCATTGTTGTACTCTTTGGGATATTTTGAAACTCTGGAAGGATTTCAAACTTTATAGACTTATCTGGCTTAATATTCTTCTTCCTTATCACTTCTGAAATTTCTGGTCGTTACCACATATTGTGCTGCTGGTAATTCCTTTTAGGCAACTTCACACTTCTGAAAATTGCTTATATGCCATGGTTTCAGGCCTGGGTGTGTCCAGTCCAGCTGCAGCCGGTTATCAGCTTTTTTTTTGACTACAAGGGCAAAAATCTTTTTTTCTCACATATACTTTGTAATATTAAACACTCTTTCTGCTTCGATACTTAGATTTGTTATTTCAAACTATCACTACACAACAAGCATGCTCAGGTTGACTTTTTAAAAATTGGACAGAATTTGGTATGACATAAAAAACAAATAGAAAACAAGAAGGGTTTAGATCAGGTTTAGCAGCATAATTGGTATTTAATACAAATTTCATCAGCAAATTGTGATATTGGCCTAATTGATGACACCTATGTTAACGTCTTAATAGTTTTTGCTTGACAATTTAGCTTCAGGGAGAGTCAGTTTCTCTCTACTTGAGCAGTACTTTTAATCTAGCATATTTTATCATTTCTCTGTGCAGGTATTGAGACTGTGGGGAAGAATGTCCTTGTTGCTGGTCGCTCCAAAAATGTTGGAATGCCCATTGCAATGTTGCTGCATACTGATCGCCATCATGAGCGTCCTGGAGGTAAGAAAATGCATTTGGATGTCTGTGTGGCTTATCTGCAATCTGAGTCAGCATTGTAATAAGATTGGCGTGCTGCTCTTTGTAGGATTGGTGTTTCACCATTGTGGCTTTCCCTGAAGGATGTTTGATGTTTGAGCTTTTGCCAGGATGTGAGCAATAAATTAAAGCTTTATTGTTTCCTCACCTTTTTAATCAAACAAAAAACTGCTGATGAATGTCCTGCTGAGGAACAAAGAAAAAAATCTGGGAGTGTGAAGGAAAATCACAGGGTGAGACTTTTGGCACTGGAAGACAGATCAGCCCCTTATAAGGGTGCAGGAAGAAGGGATTGGATTTGGAAAGGTATTGCATGTTCAGATGAAGCAACAAGATGTGCTTAACATTTCAAAGTAAAGTGTTATTGCAGGTCAGAACAACACAAATGGGAACATAACTCACTCAAAGCTGCATACCAAAGAAAAATTAGGAGATCAAAACACTGCAGTTGTCCCTAAAGTCATCGCTAAAAGGATAAAACGTTCTTTATTCATCAACATCAAATTAGGTCAGGGGACTGAAATATGCTATACAATTTCTGAAAGTAAATGATTGAGACCCAGTCCATGTTCTTCCAAACTATGTCGTGTGTACATATTGCAAATTGAGAACCATTTTTAAGTTTTTGAAATCAGTAAAAGAACACGCTATTTTGAAATTTGAGTCTTTTAAAAGCTCTTAATGGCTACTACTGACTTTGTAGCTGAAATTGGTTGCACTGTTAAAACATATGAGTTGTAATGAGTTGCTTGGAAACATCTATGCCAGGGTTTTAGTAATGCAGTATGCAAAAACAAACTTAAAGGCAGGTGTTATCTTTTGAAACTGTACATATTTGTTTAACTTTACCTTTTACCTTTAGAATCACTTGGAACTGCACCAATGCTATTTGTTTATTTAGTTAAACATAAGCATAATCCTAATTAATTTCAGGTATGTTGTGCCATCCTTATGTAAAAAATCTTTTAGTTTTACATTATATTATTATTGTAAAGCCCATAACAGAAAACTGTATTGTTTATTCTATTGGTAGCTGCGTCATCTATTACCAAGTTTTGTCAGTTTATTAATCATCAGTGATTCCTGGATGATGGATGGTATAAATAGTTAATGAGAACTTATAATCTGTAAGAACTTGTTCTTACAGATACTTGGCAATCTTTAAGATTGAACTTATGAACTGGTGCAGCCAGTTCCAGGTCTTCTGAGCCTTACACCCAGATCAAGATTAACACATATTTGTGAGGCACGTGACATGGACAGAAGAAATAGAAAGTTCTTGGTCATAAGACGATATTAAGGAGAGGAGAGGAGAAGAGAGCAAATATCAATGTATCAATAACTATTCATATGTCATAAACTCCAGCTTCCTCCCATGGTTCAAAGACAATTGGTCAGTGGGGTTTGGTTAACTGGTGAATCTAAATTGCTCGTAGGTGTGAATGTGAACGGTTGTCTGTCTCTATGAGTTACGCTTGTGTTTCTGTTTGTCAATCCGATCAATGAGTCTGGGTTTTGCGGTTGCGAGGAGAACGGTACTTGTCTGACTGCTTTGTGGTGTGGGATTGTTTTTCAGGAGTTGGGCTTGGCCACTTAGTTTCAGTGAAACGCTTTATCGTTTTGTGGGAACAGTTTCCGGATGGCTCTTTCCTGTTCCAGCATAACTGCGCACCAGTGCACAAATCAAGGCCCAGAAAGACATAGATGAGCGAGTTCGATGTGGAAGAACTTGAATGGCCTTCAGAAAGTCCAGACCTTAACCTGATAGAAGACCTTTGGGCTGAATTAGAGCAGAGACCCCAAAGTTGTCCTTCAAAATCAGTGTCTAGAAGCATAAATGTGCAAAAATGTACATGCACATACCTTCAGGTAACGTCAGGAATTTATAAATCATTTCAAAGAGTCAAAAAGAAGCGTGGAGAGGCTCAGAATCTAAGGTATTTGAGTTCCATTGGAACGTTTGCACAGTGTGGGATGACTTGAGTTTCCCTGTCTTACCTGAAACACAAAGAATCTTTTAAAGCATTGTCACAAGGAGGAAGAGACACATCCGGCGCAAAAAGAAACTGATAGATACCACACGGATGCCTTAAGTTGTGGTAAAACACTCCCAACCAAATATTGAGTGCATAAATGTACAGATTTTTCAGAGGTTGGACATTTTTGTATTGAAAATGTTTTTTTAATGATCTTATTTTAATGTTCTAACTATTCTGATAATGCCAGATACTGGATTTCTGATGTTGAAGAGCTATAAGCCATAGTCAATAAAATTATAACAAAAAAAGATTAATATATTTCACTTTCGAAGTAATGAATATCTGATAAATGAGAAAAAAAATTTTCTGAATCAAATTACAAGACTTCAAAAAGACTAAATCTGGTCAATGATCTACCAGAACTTTTTCTGTAACTTTAAAAATGTATTTCTTACAATTTAAGTCAGATTTCTTTCAGCAGCTTTTTGTTTACCATGTAGAAATACAGTTAAATATGTAATTTCTTTACACTGTCAGAAAGGGGAGTTTCACTGGCCTGAAACACTTAAGATCAAAGTCGGCTATATGTGGCCCGCGATGTAAGATGAGTTTTACGCTCCTCTTGTACTTGTTATTTCAGGTGTATGGATTTTATCAGAACGTGACACTAAGGTGGACTACCTAGTTCTTGAAAACTAAGTTTGCAAAGAATGGCAACTGAATGTGTGCTTTGTAACTGGATATTAAACTGCAAATATACAATAAGGCTAAAAACAAACTTTCCTATTTTAAAAATCTTCAGTCCCCAGTAAGTGTTTTTTTTTTTATTCCAAAGGGAAGTTGAATAACCACATAGTTCATAGGTTTATTTCCCACAACACGAGTTGTACAGCTTCACACACATTTCTTCTGGTATGCGATATGCAGGTTTGCTGTGCTGTGACTTGCCTTTTCTTCCCTCTCGTTCTTATCTTCGCAGAATACCTCCGTGGATTACAGCAACAATACTGGTCCTAATACAGTTATGACTTTGCAAGTTGCTCTGACACACCTAAACGGAGATTAAAGTTACTATCACGCATGCTGCATTTCCTCATTGTGTAATGTCTGACTTAGGGTGTCCTTCCCCCACCACTGTCTCATTTTTTTTGTAAAGCTGTAAGAGAACAACAGGTCTCACAGTAATGAAGCAGAAAGAAGAGAATATTTACACTTTAAATGTATAAAAACACTGCTTAGCAGAATCAATATTCTTCATTCCCACAGGAGAACCTTAATTGAATTAATTAATTGAAGGTTAGGTTTTGGCCACATTAACTGTTTGCTGATTATTAACATTAGCACTAATACCCCCCAAAATGCACCACCTGTCAGTACCTGAAGAATGATAGACTGGGTAATAACTTGAAATATTCATATTGAGTAAAAGAAATCTTGCTTCTGGCACTTTGAGCATGTAGAGACACCAGCTTTAGAACAGTTTAAAGGAACGTCATTGACAGGATAACCTTCACTATCAGCATTTTTAGAAGTATTGAAAGATGTCCTTTCATGGTTAATTTGCCATGTTTTGGCTAAGTAAGTTTTTATACATATTTTTAAAACCCTGATGTGGCATTTTATTCATATACATTGAATGTAGCAGGTGATGTAGGTGATAGATATCTCCGAGACCAAGAAGTGTAAACCAAGAAGTGGTGGATTAACCACAACATGTCCTTTTTCCTCTTAGGTGATGCCACAGTGACCATTACCCACAGATGTACTCCAAAGGAAAGGCTCAAAGAGCTAACCCGCCTGGCTGACATCATTATTGCAGCAGCAGGTAAACGTATCAGGACCACAGTAAAACATATCTGTCAGTTTTTTCCACAACTAAAGAACTACCGAAGTGACATATGTCATACCCAACAAAACGTCTTTCAAATGAATGGAGTGACACATGCAAACTAGTTCAGGCAGGCGGTTTGGGTTGTCCTGCATCTTGCATTCATGACAACCCTCACTTTCGTCACGTAATTCGTCGCCATTTACTTCATTCAATTTAAGCTGAAAAATTTCCAGTGTTACCCTGTGTTGTGTCACTGACACTGCTGCCATGCATCACTGGCTGTTATTTCATCACCAGCGTCTAGCTGTAGGCTCCAATGTAATGTTTATGAGCTGCTGCTGTAATAAATCAACAGTTTCTGGTGTCAGTTGTCATACTAACTGTATTAAGTATTGCAAAACGATTCATAGGATTTAACATCACATCAACTGGCTGTACGGTTACAACCAACCATCACTGTCATAATTTGCTAATCTGCCAAGGCATTTCTCAGTCAGTGTTTTGGTTGAATAATGTCACTGTTTTTGAAAAATTGACATCAGTGATGTCATTTTTGTCCAAACAAGAGTCAAAACTAGGAACTTGGGATCACCTGATTTTCCTCAAACAATTAGTACATTTTCACTCATTATTCAAGTTGTGCTATTCGTTATTTTGCGACCGTGGCTCAGGGGTTGGGAAGCGTATCTGTAACCGGAAGGTCGCCGGTTCGATCCCGGGGCTCTCTGTCCTGGTCGTTGTGTCCTTGGGAAAGACACTTTACCCTACTTGCCTACTGGTGTTGGCCAGAGGGGCCGATGGCGCGATATGGCAGCCTCGCTTCTGTCAGTCTGCCCCAGGGCAGCTGTGGCTACAACCGTAGCTTGCCTCCACCAGTGTGTGAATGTGAGAGTGAATGAATAGTGGCATTGTAAAGCGCTTTGGGTGCCTTGAAAAGCGCTATATAAATCCAATCCATTATTATTATTATTATTATTAAAAAATGTTCAGCGTGTACTGCAAAGAAATGTATCTACAGTCATGTGAAAATTAAAGATTTATAGGATTTGCAATCCTGTGAGAAACTAAGTATGCCCATAGTGCTTCCACAGGAATTAGTACTAATCACTTGCTCATCATCAAGTGTGATCAGCTCTGTAAAAGCAGAATTGATGGGTGTAATAACAGTGCCGCAATCGTCACAGGAGTCCATGTCCCAGTAAATTCACCCCAAGTTCAGACCATGCACAAAAGAAACTGCAAAACACTACAGAGCTACACCTCAGACTCTGCAGGTCTCAGTTAGCATGTCAAATGTCATTGTTGTACAATTAGAAAAAGACTGAACAAGCATGGTTTGTTTGGAAGGGTTGCCAGTAGGAAGGCTCTTCTCCCTGAAATGAACATGGCTGCACAGCTTAGGTTTGCAAATCTGAATCTGAACAAACCAAAAGGTTTCTGGAACAATGTCCTTTGGACAGATGAGACTAAACTGGAGATGTTTGGACATAATCCACAGCAGAAAATTTAAAGAAAACCTAATTAGCACAACACCTCATATCAGGTAGAGGTCTGATGATTTTGGTTTGTTTTGCAGCAAAATGACCTGGGCACATTATAGTCCTTGAGATGACCGTGAACTTTCTATACCAAAGTATTCTAGGGTGTATGAAACCATCTGGCTGACCGCTAAAGCTTTGCCCAAACTGGGTATTACAATAAGACAGTGATCCCAAGCACAGCAGCATATCTACAACTGACTGAAAATGAAAATAATCAAGGTGTTGTGTGTGAATGGTAGTTAGAAAGCACTTCAAAGCATAGAAGACATTGCCTTTATGAATGGGTGAATGTGGCTTGTCGTAAAGAGTGCTTTGAGTAATCAGGGAGAGTAGAAAAGTGCTATATAAGAATCAGTCCATTTATCAACTAAAGCAATGTTGTACATAAGAGTGGGACAAAATTCTGACACAACAATGTGAGAGACTGAGAGTCAGAAATAATGACTTCAAGTTACTGCTACTGATTGTAGTTCTACGAGCTACTGAATCATGAGGTGTACTCACAGAACTGCAGAGAGTTCTATGAAAACTTTCCTTTTCACATACTGTACGTCGGCTTTTACTTACTTACCTAATCTGTAATAGGCTACTTGTTTGTATGCAGTCATTATTATACTGAACTAGGGTATCATTTGTTTTTGCTTTAGAGAAACTGGATTAACCCATTTTAAAAGAAGAGTTTAAAATATATTGAGAGCAAACATCCATATTTTGTGAATTTTCTTGTTAACCCTAGTTTTTTGGATAGAAAACCCTACATTAAGAAAAGCAGTGCCAGTTATATGGCATTACTAAAGAGGTTCTACCCTCCAGTGTGCATTCCTTTCCGTCAGTTTCAGATTACTTTTCCTGTGTTGGAACAGGTGTACGTGGATTTATGTTGGCTGATTATGCAAAAAGGAGGAGATGTTGTGAAAAGTGCTCACCAGCCCTTACTTGAAGCGAGCTTCTTGGAATCAAAATAATAAAAGGCGACATTTCCGCCTGTTACTCTACCCCATCTGTAGGCATTGATTAAAACTTTCTGGAAGAACAGTAGTGCTTTGTTTGTTTTTTGCGTGCTGGAACGTGCAGCCATTAATCAATACAGGGCTGTAATATTAGATGAAAGATTCTTTATTAACGCAATGCAGCGATGGGTGCCATGTCTTACTCTGTTTGTCATAAATGGGCTTTTTCCTGATGAGTCACACCTCAATTTCTTTTCATGCTGCAAATGCTTGGTTTTGATTTTGAAGCACTAACTGCATGTACATCATCTCTTTCAGCTGTCTTTGTGTCTTTTGGGAAACGGCACGTGTTTTGGTTGTGTTAAAAGCGAAACGTATGCTGAGGGATTAACTGGTTGTGTAATCTGTAGTAATTGCAGTTAATAGGCTTGGCATTTAGTTTTGTTATACCCTGTCTTGGAAGTTTTATGCTGGCTTTATATGAGCAGTTCTAGTTTAGCTAGACAAACCTGTTATTTAATTATTTAATTATCCAACTGAATTTGGGGCCCATTATTAATTAACAATAATAAATGTGTGAGGAGATCAAATTGATTGTTATCAAATATGATGTGATGATTATTTGAATATTTGTGTTTTAATTCAGTTTTAATGTCCATGGTCCACCCGACAAAAGAACAATCAACTGTGATTCCAAAGATTTTTTTTAGATTTCATGAATAATTGATCTGTTATTGAGTTCAGTACTTCCCCTAACACAAGAATAGGATTTAAAAAAACATTTTAAAGCATTTAAAGAAAACGTTTCAAAGTAGTTCTCGTTTGTCACCATAACCTTGGTTTCTTTACGTAGGTGTTCCTGAGCTGATCACAGCAGATATGGTGAAAGAAGGTGCAGCAGTCATTGATGTGGGTATAAATCGCATCAAGGATCCAAACACAGGAAAACTTCGGCTCATTGGTGATGTGGACTTTGAGGGTAAATGAAAAAGAAGTTAACTGTGTCACAGTTTCTTCTATACTGCTGACATTCTGAAAACAATGTATACCTGTCTGTCGACTTTATTTTTCTTGGGAAACTGTCTCCAAGTCAATTGTTGTGGCATGTTGTAGGAGTGAAGGAGAGAGCAGGTTTCATCACACCTGTCCCCGGAGGGGTGGGTCCAATGACGGTCGCCATGCTGATGAAGAACACTGTGACTGCTGCCAGAAACGCACTGATGCATTAAACACACACACACACACATCTACACCTAGACACACACACGTGCACAAACAGTATAAAGATATTTATTTTAACAAGGGCAGACATCATGCAGACATGCAGATATAGATGCATACATTTATATAGGCACCCGCACAGGCAGACCTCCTGCCAAACATCTAACACAGTTTTATTTGAACATCTGTGAACTCAAGACTCAATACCTGCTGGGAAATCTACTTGATATGTATTGCGTTTATAATATTTATTTATTCATTTATTTATTAAGTTATTTATTTCAGCTTTCAATTTTTAAGAATTTATATTAATATTTTTTCTACTGATGTAAGTTTGGTTCATTTTGAGCATAATGAAATAAAAACATTTCAGTTCCAAAGTTTTTTTCTATTTAGTTTTTTCATGATTTCCAAAAGTATTTTGTTGTGTGTTTGTTCTGCTTTTGAGTGTAGTGAGACAGTAAAGCTCAACCATGATTAAGGGTTATGCATCTTAAACATTAGGCTGCTGATTCCTGATCTAACAGACAGCTTTTCATTTCCTTATCGCATCCTCTGCAATGCCTCAAATCCAAAAATAGGGAAGTTCTGAAAAATGAATGTAACCAGTGAAAAGATTCCCCAAAGACATTTCATCTTTTGATCATCATAATAATTAGATAATTAATATATAGATTTCTGTATGGCTATCCATTTTCCTAATGATGGCACTGCTCCACTGTCTTAAGGCTAGAGGCAGGCCATCTTGGACTACTTGTCAGTTTTGCCCCTTCCTGATTTCTCAGTTTTTTTTCTCTCCATATTTGTCACACTTACATGTATCAGATGTTAACACGAATTATAATAATAGTCAAAGATAACTCATGTAAATAAAAATTACATTTTAAAATGATAACTTCATTTATTAAATAAGAAAAAAGCTATTTAAAGCTACCCGGCCCTGTGTAAACACATCTTCAGCTAATTCTGGACTCTATGGCGGATAATTTATATTTGAAAATGATATCTCATGCTCCCTGAGTCACTCTTATAATTTGAGCTAGATGAAGCAGCATTGCATCTAGAAATGTGCCTGTACTATAAAAGAAGAAAAGAAAATTACTGATGGAAAAGCCTGGTGATTGAGTATGTTCAGGCAGCCGCCTGACCTCAATATTTGGGAACGTAATATAGGTAGCTGTGGGACAGTAAAATATAATGGTGGCTCCACACCAGTTTGCAATGCAATCCCCAAAGGATTTGTGTTTTCTCCCAAAAATGAAGCGGTTGTTCGGTTGTCAGGTGAAAGTGTAAACCATATCACTTTGGAGCCACCTCCTTAAGGTGATAGTGAAAAACAAAAAGCAAAAAAACAAACAAAAACAGTAAACACATAATTGAAGAGTTCATCTAGAAATGCTTGGCCCCCTATCAAATTTTTTGATAAAACTTTTAATTACATCTAATTCTAATGTGCTGTAACCTGTCTCTAACTAATTCTCTCTTCACGTGTTAAGAGGCCAAAGAAAAATAAAGCTTCCATTGTGATCACGCCAATGAAAAAAGAGAGGATTTCCCAACATCCGCTGTCAGTGAAGCAACTTTACTGGACTGTGAAACTGATTGAAAGTCACCCAGCCAGTGTTCTTCAGAAGCACTTGCCTCTGGGGATCTCGTGCCTCCCCCATAGGCTTTGTCTCTGCATGCCTATGAAGTAAATGATTTGATTCAAGTCGAGTATCAAAAGGAAATACTTTTCATTTTTCAAAAGAAAAAAAGCCTTCAGTGTTTTGATTGGCTGTGCAAATCTGGATAAATAAGCTCAGCGCAGACCTGTTGGTCACACCTGTGCAGGCAGAAGGAGCTGAACACATCACATCACCAAAGGACAACATGGTCACACAAAGACAGACGTACCTGGAGAAACGTAAGTTTCCAGTTTGTTCTGTGATAGAGCCATGAAGCAAGAAAAAAAAAAAACCTTTTAAAATAAAACTTTCATAAAGCTTGACCTAGGTATTTTTTTTTTTTATGTATAAATGATAATAGTAAAGGAAGAAACTTGTTAGGAAAACTGAAAAATGCATAGAGTAAAAATAAATCATCTATATATTTAATATTTAATATATTTTCTACATTATTTTCTTTTTTTCTTTTACAGCGTTTCTGCCGGCAGTGACGGTGCTGGTGCTTTTGGCTGCAGCAGGACATTCTGCAGTGGTGAATGATAATCTCCAGACCAAAGCACCGCCTCTGTCAAACTCATCTCTGACCACTCAGTTTAGCAACAGTGAGTGTTTTAAGTTTGAGTTTTGTGACGGTGTAGAAACACATGGCATTACAGTGCTTTATCCCTGACATATGAAATCTACAGAGCCCCAAATGTCCCCAGTGACGTCACGATATATGCTTGTTAAGTTGTGGGCACAAGGTTTAAGGTCTTATAACTGAAGCTTATCTGAAGACCGGTGTCAAATAATGCCGCCTGTTAATCAAGGAATTAATAATAAGAATGAATAATTAAAGTCATATATTTCTGTTAAATTTTTGTTTATGTTGATTGTTTTATTCTCCCTCTCTGCAGGTAGCATGGAGTTGCCTCAAGTCCTACCTTTACACAAGCCATGTAGAAGCGAACATGCTTCTTATTGTGTAAACGGTGGCAAGTGCATGTATCCGCAAGACAGTGACAAACCTTCTTGCATGTAAGTTCTGCAGTATCAGACAGTATCCACAGTAGATTTAGTTAATAATGATCTGTATGAAATTCTTCTACGTGTTTGTTCATGTTCACTTTTGGAATGCGCTCACATATTTTCTCTGATCTGCAGCTGCGAACCCTCGTACAGCGGGCCACGCTGCATGTTTGTGGAACCAATTCGTGGTGTTACTTTGCTTGATGTAGAGCAAGTCATTGGCATTATTTTCGGGGTGTTCATACTCATCATATTTTTGACGATCGCATTTTACTTCTTTGTCTACAAGAGGTGAGTATCCACAGGTTTTCGCGGTGTAATAAAGTATGCAGGAATAGTGGCAGTTCCATTTCTGATGTTGTTTTTGTGTTTCTGTTTTCAGGTGTACAGAATCGACGGTGCCAATAAAATATGCACCTGCTAAGACCTCGGTGTGAACTCTGCAGCTCACATTTGCTCATGCACCACCATCTTCAACATTTCCCCTTTCAAGAAAAGACAAACCACAGCATTTCATGAGAGTGAATCATTTGCAAGTCTACAAAACAAATAATATAATATATAAAAAGAAAAAAAAAATCCCTTTGACAACATTTAAATGGAAACACTTGACTGTTACAAGAGGTTATTAACAAGGAAAGAGCAAGCTCTATCAAATCTAACGTTATTTTTTTAACGATTGTTTTATTTTCATGTAAAGAATAAGAATGAAAAATTGTATATATTTATTGCAAAATTATGTTAAGTAAATTATTATAAATTATTATTTTCTTGTATTTAAAGTTTATTTTTTAATTAATTACAAAAGATATTTGTGTTATTTGAATTTCACTTTTTGCTACAGCCTTTTTACAATAAATATATTTTTGCTTTGATAATTGTGCGTGCCAAATATTTGACAGGAGATACTCCATTACCATTTTGATAAGGTAAAGAAGAATTTTTAAAACTGCGTAATTCCTGTTTGAGTTTCACTTATTAAGCTTTTGAAACGATAATGCTCACTGATCCCCAGACAAACTGTAAATGAGCCATTTATTAAGCCTAAAAAGGCTGCCCAAAGTCTAATTAAACAACAGGTTAACTTGTAACACGATGCTGTGAAAGGCTAAACATGCTTGAACGGCATATTTAGCCATGAAATATGACGATAAACTGGTCCCATTCTTAAACGGAGTAAATAAGCCCAAAGTACAGTAAAGGGTATAAGAAAAGTTCGGTAATTTTAATTAGCAGTGATTAAAGCTGAGATTAATATACGAGAACAGGAAAAAGAACATGAAGAATAAAACTATATTTGGACTGCATAGCTAATAAATGCTCAAACAGGCGACCTGGCCTGGACTTCTGCCAAATCAGTGTACCACCTAACTCCTTTACTCCAGATAATATATCTGCAATATATTTATAATGCAGCCTTCACATATGTATCCAGTTACCTATGCCATGTACGCTATATAATAGCCCTATCCCGGTCATGTTACAGAACAATTTTCCACTCACGCAAATAAGCTTTTATCAGTTTGGACGTTTCATAGGGTGTCTTACTACTTTTCAAATGATATGGGGTTTAAATGGTTTGCTGACAGCTTTTTGTTTAGTTTATATTTTACTGTGTCCACACTTTTGTCGATAATGGTACTTACAAACGCAGCAAGAGCCAGACTGCAGAAGAACAACATATTATAAGTGGGGTTTTTTTCTGCTTTGATTGGGGCTTTTTTTTTTAAATTGTGCTGTTACTAGCTTTAGTCAGTTATCTGAAAATTTCTATTACAATCCGCCTTTTATTATCAACAATAAAAACTCCTGTTTTATGGAAACCGGTGAGGACAGACATTCTCGGGTCTGTCCTTTCATTGAAACCGCTGAGAGGTGAAATTATCTAAAATACATGAGTCTGACACCACACCCAAACCGCAGGAGTAAAAGCCCACTGGTTTCCTATTTTCAAAAGAAACGTCACCTGCACCTTTACCTGACAGTTATTACTCGTCCTGCTCGTCCTACCAGCGAACTATCGACTGAGATGGGGATCAGCAAACTGTCAGTGCTCCTGTCAATTATCGGTAAAGTGTGTGTGCTTTTCATAATGTTGACGTCTTGAATATTATTTTTATTGTTTTATTATTATTATTATTTGAGTTTGACGCGTTGACAGTGAATGGCAGGTCTGTTCAGGTATGGATTGAATTTAAGTCATCTCAAGGAACCCGGAGCGATGATCACCTTTAAATAGACGAAAAGCTCTTTCAAAGTTAAACTTAGCATCTACTGGAACGGAATGTTGAATTAAAAAAATAACTAAATGCAGTTACTAATGGTTGTAGCCATGGGAACACTGTTTAACAGCGTCAGTGAGTGACTCCATACTGCAAGATTTCATTAAGGCTGATGTGGGCGTGTACCCATTTGCAGTCTGACTTTATCTGTATGTATTTTTAATTTGTAGTAGGCTACAAGTAGAGTACTTGCACTTTAGCTGATGCAGTTTGATATAGAGGGTAGCTAATTTAGTTAAATAAAAATGCAAGTTTGTAAGCTGGTCACCTGTTATGTGCAAATCATGAGTTCTGTTGTTTTTACTTTGAAATTAATTTTAATACATCTGTTAAGTACCATGTACCAGTACAATATGCTGCTATCCTTCTGGGTTTGACTGATTCTGATGGTGTTATAGATGTTAATAGCAGATAGCAGTTGAAAATTGAACAGAGTAAGGTCTATTAAAAGATAATAAGGTGATACGATGTTAAGTTATGTAAAATAACTTTCCATACTGATGATTACTTTCACTATTAAGACTTTAAGTACAAAGTCCACATACTATTTCTACTGCATCTTATTTATCATCTTAGATATGTCTTGGTGTAAGATGCAGTTAATATGAATGATTTCTTTATTCATACTCAAAGCTTGAAAGCATAATCACCGCAATATAACATTAAAATCTAGCATTTAAATAGTTTTAGTGTTGATCTTCAGATTTCCTTTGCTGCTAATATTTTGGCATTCTTACCAAACTGACTTTTAAACTGGTATTTGGCACTTGAGTCAAAAGCTGAGTTAACTCCAATTATAGTGTCTCTAAAACCCTTTTTTGGCACGCCCCAAATCAGCCAAAAATGTTTAAAAATTCAATAAAATTCACGTGATTTCCATTCCACTCAATTTTGGTCAGTTAATATCAGTAAAAAGGGATCCAGTGTGTATATGAAATCGTGGTAACTTAAATAATACGATCAAAACTCTTTTATTTCATTTGATTTACCTCAGTTTTTTTCCCCCTGCATGGCTATGCATGCCACACATGCAGTGGCTTTATGTCCCACTGGTGGGGCCCACAGTTCAAAAACCACTGGACTAAAAGTAATTACAGAAACCATCCAAAGTTTTTCAGACAAATGATACTCTGTGGCATCTGTAGAGCCAAGGGAGGCTGAATTATTTTATGACAATTATTTTCACCTCAATTAATGTCTTGAGGTAGGCTGGTTGCTAGGAATGTGCAATTAGAGTGAGTCATTGGCTAATGATGTAAATGATCTGATTAATAGTGATTAATTAGTAATACGGGAAAGCTACTTCATCACTTCCACTGTACTTTACACCAGTCAACCATGTCAGAAACACCCAACAACCACCCTGAGCTCTCTAACTGAAAACAGAGAAAAATACCTCTGCAGCCATAACAACAGACAGGAACAGAAACCCAAAAAGGGAGCGATTTTATGGCGAGTATTACCAGATTCATAACCAGTCCTAACTAGACACATCTTGCATTCTGTTTGATGTGTTTTTGCATCCTGTCTGCTGGAATGTGGGCGGCTGCTAGTGCTGTCCATTATAAAGTTGTGCAGGCTAGTACAGGTATTTGATCCAAGTAACACAAGCTATACCTTCTTGTTATCACCTAAAACTGACAGGCATTCTCACAGTTTCTTTTATCCCCCTGCATATTTACAGTTTCTGAATTTTTTTTTAATGCTGGTGCTATGTAAATAAACTCATTCATCCGTTTTCTTAACCGTCTTCCTAAATCAGGTTTCAGGGCTGGAGCCTTTGCCAGCTTTCACTGTGTGAGAGGCTGGGTACACCCTGCAGAGAATGCTAAGCAAAACCAACAAAAACATGAATCATTTTGGGTTGTTGTGGAGTAATTAAAGGAACAGTCGTCCCTACATATAATTTTAAAAAAAAAAAAATCATAAAACATATTGCTGACTGACTGTACATATCTTCTCTGCAAGTAAAAATAACATTTGCAGCTGTGAAAGTCTGTGTTTGCATGCAAAACTATATCATTCCCTGACAAACTGGATTAGGTTAAATATATAAGAACCTGGGCAGCACATTTTTAAAATGTCCATTTTCAAATGACTTTTTTGATTGTTTTACCTTCTCAAGGCCTCGCAAACGCTTAAATAAAAACACCTGAAAGTTGTTACCCTGTACAGGGGGTGGCATGTTCACCTTGAAGGTGCACAAAAGGTTTTTGACCAGCTATTCTTAAGGTTGTTAGAAATTAGAAAATGCTATTGGTCAGCATTCTTTAGGAAAAAACTCTTACAAAAGGGCTTGCGTAGCTCATTGTTCATATCAGACTTATATCCAGTGTGAATAACGAGGATTTGTTTTTATCTGACAGGTGTCATGATGATCTGGCCGTATGTACTCACCGAGAGTGCATCACCCAGAGTGCCGTCTGCAGATGGTGCTTCTTTGCCTGCAGGTATTCAGCTCTACAGCTGCTGTGAAGACATTTTATCAGCCTTTTTATAGCATAGTAAATCAGAAGATTTCAAAATTAAAATGAAACACTGAGCACCTGGAGTTGAAACAAAGTGGGGGCTATGAGGATGAGGTGTTATACAATTAGTCAGCTATTATTTTTTTTATTTTTAAATGTTTCCTTAAGTTACAATAAGGTGAATATATCTGCATCATTGACTGGTAGCACAATAAAACCACACAGATAAATGTTACTTTCTTTACACTTCATAGATAAAATGATTGATTAATGGCATTAACTGTCAATATTAACTGACAGATGCAGCCCCAAAATACTACTTATTTCATTTAATGTACAATTATTAATAGAAAGGATATAATGTTAGATATAATAACCTCCAGAAGCCCTTTACATTAAAAATAAGACAATGAAGTAAATTATTTAGATAAAACAAATGGAGGATATTTAAATCTAGTAAACAAATAAGCCACAGCTCAGGTAAAAAGTAACATCCACAGTACTTTTTACCTGAATGTACACCGATTCATGCAGGTCTTATTTTTAGGAAACGTTTCCAACGGCTTGTTGTTTGTTTCAGGCCAGGGAGAAAAGCAACAGCATGTGGTTAAGCGGTCGATGCAGAACTGTGAAAGCGCATATGACAACTACTGTTTGAACAACGGCCAGTGCATACTGCTCGTGGACATCAATGAACACCACTGCAAGTACGATCGTGTGTGTGTGTGTATGTGCAAGGGCCATGACAAATAATGGGAGGAATACCACTCAAACCAAAATTTACACACTAAAAAAAGATAGTACTCCATGAGATGTGTCAATCATTGCTATCAGTCAGCATATCAGTAGTTGGATGGATGATTGAATGTTCAGGATGCATACTGTCATGTGGTGTAAAACCTAAAAGAACCAGGCCAAATCCAAACAAACAAATAACATAGTGCTGGATAAATGGAGCGATAAGAAAGAGAGCCCAAGCGCTGAGACAGCCAGTTCTTAAATGCTCCAGGGAGACTGACCAGGTGCTCTCAGTTACACGGATTAACCCCACCTACCAGGAACCTGCACACACACAGGGACAAACAGAAAAAGCAGCAGGCCATGGCAGAGGGCTGTCACATGTGGCTATGTGGGTGGGTAAGTGAATCTGTGCTACTTTGTCATCATGAGTAGTTATGCATGACTCGTCTGTTTGTGTTGCAGGTGTGAGACAGGCTTCATTGGTTCCAGGTGTGAGAAACTGGAACTTGTTTTGGGGCCAGAAGGTGAAAAGCAAATAATTATCATCATTTTCTTCATGATTCTGCTGATTATTGGATTGGCTGGAGCTCTGTACCTTTTCTGCAGATGGTAAGGCTTTGATATTGTCACGGTCTGGCTAGGGCAGACCGTATGTTGCAGGGAAGGACTCAAGCGCAGACCGAAATGAGATATGAATAACAAAACATTATTTATTAAGGCAAGAAACGAGGGTACAAAATAATAGGGAATCGATGAAAACTAAACAATAACCTAAACTGGGTGAACTAAAACGAAACATACAAAACTCTAAACATAACGAACTGACAGGGATACCTGGAGCGGAGACATAGGAACAACGGAGCAGTACAACGGACGACCTGACAAAGAATGACTGAGAACACACAGACTAAATGGACACAGGAGGATAATGAGGGAAGTGGCAACACATGGGAACCCAGCTGACACATGAACATAATTACGTCACAGGGGGAGAGTAACTGAACATGATGAACACAGACACACCAGACCTCTTCACAATAAAACAGGAAACACAGTGAGATATAGACATGACAACCTGAACTGACAACATAAGCCACAGACATGAAATACATGAAAAGCAGGGGAGACTTAACATAGTGGGAACACGAGGGGTAAAATTAACTGGAAACAACTTGGCATGATAACGATGAACTTAGGAAACCTGAAGGCTACATAAACTAAACACAAAACGCTGGGTCAGCAGACCCAGGATCATGACAGATATGTGAATGTATGTGACTATACGTGTGGTTACTTAGTAGGCCTCAAACTAAAGCAATGAGATTTCTTACAAAAACTGAACGCTGAGAACAAAGAGGAGCCCAGAGCAGAAAAGAAACAGACTTTTGGCTCATGTGGATTATTTTAACATAAGCTGACCTCATTTGAAGCCATGTTGAATATGAGTTTTGACTGTTGCAGCAGTACATATGAAAAAGAAAATAATAACATTTTGTCTCCATGGAATATGTCAAAAGTAGGCTGCACATTAAGCTGCTAAAAGTCTACCACTAAAACTCTGAGGGTATTCGTGACACTACAGCTAAACCTACAGATCTACATTTTACTTTAAATATTGAAGTTCATGAAATAAAATCTTGCCCTCAGCATCCTGCTCCATGCACACGCACCAAACCACAAAGAACGGCTATGACCGAAATCCCATTTCAAGTTCCTCAACCTTCATTGTTGGTTATATTAAAGCATGAAATGGTGAAATGCTACATCACCGAGACAGGATTTGTGTATTTTGAAATAAAATCAATATGTGTTATTTTTGTAGGTATGAGAAGAATAATTTTCGACGTCAGCTGAAGCTGCAGGGTTACAAAGGAGACGAGATGGCTTAGAGCATTTCACGCTCTCTTGCAACATCCACTGCTGGAAAAGACAAATCAAGATTTCTCCCAGTTTTCTAAATGAAAATTTCAACATATCAAGAACATCCTGGCAGTTCAGTGGCTAGCTTAGTAAATTATTCCTGCCTCCTTTACACTGTACGTCACGTGGCTTTATCAAGCAGGCAGATCACCACAAAGAGGTTATAATGGTCAGCTTTGTGTGCGGTGGGATTGTTTTCCAGCTGCACTGGTTCTAAAGTTGCGGCACCTGTTACACTCAGTTTGAAAAGATGAATAGTTAGGCACACAAAAACAGTTTCTGTGGGTGACTCCGCCCACACGATACTGAAAAATTAATGGAAAATAAACAGTTGTGAAGCGGTAACTATAGTAACTTGTAATGCAACAAAAAAAAAAAATGTTGCTCCGAATTTGCTGATAACTAGCAGAATTGATCATAATCAATATAATAATGTAGTTTCCTCACTTTGGGATTTCTGTTTTTTGCTAGAATGCAAGTCTAATTTTAGAATATGAAAGGCTTTTCTGTGGTTCAGTGAGGCTGCGTTATCTTTTGAATCAACCCACTCTCAGATCCTAAAATAGAACTGGTTAAAGATGTTTTGTTTGTCTTCCAGTCCTGTCTACTCTGACTTAACATCCTAAAAAACAGATTAGGACTGTTTACACTGTGGTTTGAACTTTGCCTTTAATTTATGCTTGTGCCTAGCTTTTAGCTTTTATTAGATATCATTTTTTTGTCTTGCACAAAATCAAAATGGCCACTATTACTATTATGATGATGTCACTTTAAATTGGCCAATGAGTGTAAAGTTTTGAGCTTTAACGCTTGAAACTTTGTGTAGTGTGGAGGTTTCCTCATTCTTATAAGTTCAGTTGGCAATGTTTATATACTCTACAACCTCTGTCTGTGTTTGAAGCTACAAAGTATTTATTTTTTTTACTTTTACTTGTTTTTTTTTTATTCTTGTATCTTTCAATGTCTTCACTCATTCTTCAGGTGATAAGGCTGCAGCGGTGAGGCTTCAAATTCTTCTCAAGCCTTCCTGCAGTCTTCACATTTTTCTTACATGTCATCAATATCTCTCTTTAATATATATATATTGATATGTATTGTTTTTTTTAATTTATTTAACTTTTTTTTCCCAATTTTTTTGTCCTTTACATTTTATACACATGTAAGAATACTTCTTGCTGTACAGTTTGCAAAATAATCTTTCTTGGGCAGTGTTATCTGGACTTGTACCAGGGGAAACATTGCTGTGCTGATGGTGATGCTGGCTTTTGCACTGCTGCTTCCTTCTGCGGGTTTGCCACAGAAATGCTTTGCAAATGGAAACCAGGTGGTAAGAGCCTTGGTTCTTCTGATAAAACTCTGAGAACGCCATCTCCAAAAAGCTTTCCTTTGAGTTGTTCTTCATTTGAGTCTAATAAAAGACTGACAAATGACTACAAGTTACGTGTACTGTGTGCATCCAAACCATCCCTATTAAACCCAAATAAATATGCATGTCTGTGGTCATCATCTGACCTACCGAGTGCAGTGTCAGATGTCAAGTTAATCAGTAGCTTCATTTTACACTCAACCAGAGCCAATGATCCATTTTAACACCTCGCCTGGATCCGCTTTACATGTTCTGTATACCAATGAACAGCGACGATGACACGTAAACATTAACTCACCTGCAGCTGCTGCTCTGTTAAGACATACTTAAAAACACATTAGCATGCGCTTACACACGCGATGACCCACAAACACACCCACTCTGTGGTGGCCATTTTGTTCTAAACATAAAACCCGTGGATAAAGATATTCGAAATTCAGGAACTGCTGCTCTAATCCCTGCACTGTGCTATTACTTATTATTGCATAAGTAATAGTAGGCTACTCATGCAGTGAGTAATACAGTGGGGGAAGCCCCACTAAGCTGCATCTTCGTGTGTTCTTTAACAAACAAGTCTCATGTCTATCACGTATGCGTTTGTTTTGCTTCTCAAGTCAGGTTTGTGTTTTAGTTTCTGTTATATTTGTATTATTCGCTGTCATTTATTCTCAAAGAGTCGCTTTCTAGATGGAAATACAGACTATTAAGGCTCCAGATTGAAAGTCCACATACATCATTTAAGGGCACTCAGCGGAGAGACATAATTAAGGTGAAATTGATAGTTTTCAGGAAGATGCTGGAGTTGCTTTTCTGCCATTAATACTAGTTGGTAAAGTTGCAAGAATTCATCTTCAAGGCAATAAATTTAAGAAGCCGATCTAAATAAACTGAGAACTGAATCAGCTACAAAAGGCACCATGTAGACAACAGTGTACATATACATTAAAAAACTTTAAGCTAATACTTCACATGGGAAATTATGCTTTTAACGGAAAAGTAGAGATTCAATATCGGCAGCTAGTAACATTGTAACAGTGTTGTGAAGATGCACAAAGACATCTAATTGTATTTTTGTGTTCAAGTTTTCATCCTGCGTGCCTTTAGCTTGACAGCAGTGTGTTTACTGTGGGTGGCTGTTATGAGGTGCTTCTCTCCTGGCTTGTGTCAGACTTTCCACACATCCATATCTCATATCCTCAATGTCATTACACATATCCAAACAATTCCATTGCATGTTTATCCTCAACAAAACGTGCCAGGAGCTCCAAGTCATTGTTACGGAATGAGATGGAGTAGTTCCCTGCATTCCTAGCAGGTTTGTGTTTGATTCCACTAGTGTATGACTGATGGGACAACCTGTATCTGCAGACACAACAACATAAACAACACACCCTTGTGTGCAGCTTCCCCACCCAAGCCTTAAGGTCTCCTCTTAGTTACAGTGTACAGAAATAGTAACACTGAGTATAATTTGATAAAACACACACATAATAATTCAGACAGAACCACAACCCGCCGAACAAAACGAAACAACAATAAAACAGAGAACGCTCATTGTCATAGGCAAATAAATAAAAACAGGTAACAAGTAATACACACTTAAAAAGATTATATTAAAAAAGTATCTTATATCTCAGAAAATAAGACACATTCAGAGGTGTATTTTCTAGAAGCCAGCCACAATTCCCATTTCATGACCTATTTGCCCATATACAGTGGGGCAAAAAAGTATTTAGTCAGCCACCGATTGTGCAAGTTCCCCCACCTAAAATGATGACAGAGGTCAGTAATTTGCACCAGAGGCACACTTCAACTGTGAGAGACAGAATGTGAAAAAAAATCCATGAATCCACATGGTAGGATTTGTAAAGAATTTATTCGTAAATCAGGGTGGAAAATAAGTATTTGGTCAATAACAAAAATACAACTCAATACTTTGTAACATAACCTTTGTTGGCAATAACAGAGGTCAAACGTTTACTATAGGTCTTTACCAGGTTTGCACACACAGTAGCTGGTATTTTGGCCCATTCCTCCATGCAGATCTTCTCGAGAGCAGTGATGCTTTGGGGCTGTCGCCGAGCAACACGGACTTTCAACTCCCGCCACAGATTTTCTATGGGGTTGAGGTCTGGAGACTGGCTAGGCCACTCCAGGACTTTCAAATGCTTCTTACGGAGCCACTCCTTTGTTGCCCCGGCGGTGTGTTTTGGATCATTGTCATGTTGGAAGACCCAGCCTCGTTTCATCTTCAAAGTTCTCACTGATGGAAGGAGGTTTTGGCTCAAAATCTCACGGTACATGGCCCCATTCATTCTGTCCTTAACACGGATCAGTCGTCCTGTCCCCTTGGCAGAAAAACAGCCCCATAGCATGATGTTTCCACCCCCATGCTTCACAGTAGGTATGGTGTTCTTGGGATGCAACTCAGTATTCTTCTTCCTCCAAACACGACGAGTTGAGTTTATACCAAAAAGTTCTACTTTGGTTTCATCTGACCACATGACATTCTCCCAATCCTCTGCTGTATCATCCATGTGCTCTCTGGCAAACTTCAGACGGGCCTGGACATGCACTGGCTTCAGCAGCGGAACACGTCTGGCACTGCGGGATTTGATTCCCTGGTGTTGTAGTGTGTTACTGATGGTGACCTTTGTTACTTTGGTCCCAGCTCTCTGCAGGTCATTCTCCAGGTCCCCCCGTGTGGTTCTGGGATCTTTGCTCACCGTTCTCATGATCATATTGACCCCACGGGATGAGATCTTGCGTGGAGCCCCAGATCGAGGGAGATTATCAGTGGTCTTGTATGTCTTCCATTTTCTGATGATTGCTCCCACAGTTGATTTTTTTCACACCAAGCTGCTTGCCTATTGTAGATTCACTCTTCCCAGTCTGGTGCAGGTCTACAATACTTTTCCTGGTGTCCTTCGGAAGCTCTTTGGTCTTGGCCATGGCGGAGTTTGGAGTCTGACTGTTTGAGGCTGTGGACAGGTGTCTTTTATACATATGATGAGTTCAAACAGGTGCCATTCATACAGGTAACGAGTGGGGGACAGAAAAGCTTCTTACAGAAGACGTTACAGGTCTGTGAGAGCCAGAGATTTTCCTTGTTTGAGGTGACCAAATACTTATTTTCCACCCTAATTTACGAATAAATTCTTTACAAATCCTACCATGTGGATTCATGGAATTTTTTTTCACATTCTGTCTCTCACAGTTGAAGTGTACCTCTGGTGCAAATTACTGACCTCTGTCATCATTTTAAGTGGGGGAACTTGCACAATCGGTGGCTGACTAAATACTTTTTTGCCCCACTGTATGTTTATGAAACCACTTACCGAAACAAACACTCATAGATACTCTTTTTATGACCCCTTATTGCTCTCACTGTAATGTAGCATTTTTTTATGTTATTTTTTATCTTTGTACCTTGACTAAAGTGTAGCTATGACTCGATTACAGAAAAAGGTGTGTATAGTTGCTGTCAATTAAGAACCCAGTAACTTTACTTTTGTGGTTTGCTTATGATTTTGTCTATCTAAGATTAGTCAACACTTTGGCCATTCAATAAATGACACATGATGGCCTAGAAAGTTGTTTTCAAGTTAATGTTGAAAAGCTTTATAATATCCTGGTATGTGTCTCTATCACTACAGAAGGTATAACTAAGGCCATATAAAGGCAGCCCTGCGGAAGTAATAAAAGTTACCAAACAGGTGATAAAAAGCCAAGAGCTTGGTGACCCAGTGTCGCCCACAATTATTATTCCCACCAGAACGTGAGGTGCAAAATGTATTGCCTGGGGCAGATGAATTAGTAGACACACATGAATAAGCCACACACACACAAGCACAATGCGTTTTTTACTCTCTCTCCTGTGCTCTCTCTTTGCTCTCTCTTTGCCTCATGCACACACACTCACAAGTGCACACACACACCCATCTGTTTCCTTCAAGTTGAGAAGCAGGCGTTGGTCTATAAAAGCTGCACCCAGTGGAGGTGAAGAAAGCAAAGCACACTCTTGATCAGCGGGGGACAAAGACACACTTCGACACCTACTTACACACACGTTAGTGCAGGACTATCATACACAAAACACTTGCTTCCTGGGATATGAACCCTCTCATCCTCACCTGTTTCCTGTGCTTCGGTAAGTCTGAACTTGTACTTAAAAGTGTCTGTGTGTTTGTGTGTGCGGAGATAGTTTAAATGACTGAAATGAAAAGAGAAATGCAAGTGGCATGACAGAAAGGCATGGGTCAGGGGAGAAAACTTGTATCCACAGGCGAGGACTTGTCAGAGAGGAGAGAGGTATTTGAGTTTTTTTTTGTTTTTTTTTGTCAGAGACGCTTCTAGAGACCAAACTATTACCAGACATTGTGCAGGAGACACACCAGACACACAGAAAGGTCATCATATTTTGAATACTTCATTATCCTTTCACTGAATCCTATTCATCACTGGTGCAATACAGTCCTCAATGTGGACTGGTTGTACTGGTTTAAGATTGTTCCCAGCAGAGGAAGGTGAAATAATGAGTCAGAGGCAAAGCTATATGAGCACAATTTCTAAAGAAAGTAACTCACACAAAGTTCATGGTAAGAAAAAAAAAGGAAAGAATGAAAAAAAATGACTGCCAAGACTGATTTCTACAATAGTTTATCAGCAGATCGGCAACTATTCACGTCTTTTTTCTATTTATAGCTCTGAAAGAGTGTTTTTCACAATCCAAGATGTTGATCTGGATCAAAAGAAGTAAACTTTGATTTAATTGTGTATTTCTATGTAGATTTAATGTCTTATTCATTTTTGTTGGCTTTTTTTTGTAGTCTGCAGTGCTCTAAGTGCTCAGGGATCTACAACCACACAGTCAGGTGACCAAGTTGGAGTGACTGTCGACCTGGCCTCAGGGGAAGGCCTCCAGAATTTGCACAGCGATGATGATGAGTTGGAAGAGGACGGGATTTCAGGAGGAGATGATGAAAATGTCAGCTTCCTTGGTACAAGGGAATCTTTTATCTGAGTATATAACTGTGTGATTTGTATATGTTTCTTTTAAGAAAGATGAGTATATAAAATTGTATGAAAGTGAAGTTCTCTTGACTTT